ATATATATATATAGCCTATATATATATATATATATAATAAATGTATTAAATCATTTTAAAACTTTTTCGGGTCTGAGTGGTAACCTTAACAAATCTGAAGTTCTTTTTCTTGGCACCTTTAAGAACAATCCACCCAACATTCAAGATTTGGGTATTAAATTATCTTCTGGCACTATGATCCTTCTCGGAATTTCTTTTACAATTAATAAAAATCTATTTGAGCTCAATTATGTTCCAAAACTAAAAAAGTTAAAGGATATCCTCAGAGTTTGGTCAATGAGAGATTTAACCCCCCTCGGCAAGATCACCATTATTAAGTCGTTGGGAATTTCTCAACTTGTTTTTCTCTTCTCTGTTTTGCCTAACCCACCTTCTTACTTTATTAAAGAACTTGAAACAATTATCCATAATTTTATTTGGTCGGGCAAACCGGATAAAATTAGCCGCAGCACGATGATTGGTGATTATGCTGAGGGAGGGCTGCGTATGTGTCACATTCCTTCAATGATAAAGGGACTGAAAATTTCATGGATTAAGAGATTTTTGGATCATAATAATAATTGTAAATGGACATTGTTTTACAATCTTCATTTGAAGCATATGGGTAGTCTTCTAACATGGCATTATAATCTTAGACCAACAGAAAATGTATTTCATGCATCCATAACTTATTTATCAAAGATGTTGTTAGCGCTTGGTGTAATGTTACTTTTGAGATGCCAGTTTCTGATTTTAATCATCAGATCTTGTGGAACAATTCATATATTAGAATTGACGACAAGACTGTTTTTAAAAACACATGGTATGAGAAAAGTGTTAAGTACGTTAAAGACGTGGTTAATAACGACGGGACAACTACCTCGTATACCGAGTTTCTCGGTATGTTTGGCATAAATTGTCATTTTTTGGAGTATTATTCGGTGCTCTGTGCTGTTCCCACTTTAAGGAAAAAATCTAATCTGGTTGAAATCTGTAATAATCAAAGTAATCAGGATGAATTGCTTTCAGTACTTATAAAATCAAGCAAAATTTGTAAACACATCCACTCTCATTGTACTAAAAAAAATTCAAGATGCTGAATTGAAATGGAGTAAGGATTTCAACTGTTTTGACATTGAATGGCCTGAAATTTACCTTAATGCATTTAACTCCTCACTGTCTACAAAAGTTAGATATTTTCAATATAAGTTTATTCATCGCATCTTACCAGTTAACGACTTTCTCTATAAAATCAATATTGTTCAAAATATGTGTACTTTTTGCGATCACTGGCCAGAAACAGTTTCCCATTATTCTGGGATTTTAACATTACAACTAGAGTTTTGGCATGATGTTAAAAGTATTATTTGAAAAAATCAGTTGGTTTTATCTTTACAAAATATTTGTCTGGGAATTAATGATGTTGAAAATAGGCATTTTAATCCTGCATGCTAAGTATTTTATATATTCATGTAGGTGTCGCAAAAAAATACCCAACATTGTTAACTTTAAAAACACACTTAATTTTGAAAAATCGGTTGAGCTGTTCATAGCTATATCTAAAGAAAAACTATGATAATTGGAAAATGAAGTGGAATGTTCTTAATCTTGATTAGATTTGGGTTAATAAGCCTATTGTTAGCATTGACACCTATTATAATTTACTTGACACTTTTAGAATGTGAATTTTTATTTTTTATGGAATGAATTTTCTCATTGTTTTTTAGTTATATTTAATTAATTATAACTTCTTATGTAATATTAATTTTATTATGCTATGTTTGAAACGTTTTCTGTATGCGATGTTTTGATGTGATACAATAATTTTTAAAAATGGAGAAATATATATATATATATATATATATAAAACATGAAGAGGGACACACGTGTGTTTATATATGAAAAATATAGAAAGAAAACAGGTAAGGGACTATCAGTGATTTAGGCTTTTTAATCTTAGGCACATATTTCAAATCTACTAAGGCTAGAAGGTGTTATGAGATTCGTTGGTTCCTTTTTCATAAATATGTTAATGATTTAAACAAGATTTAGGTTTTATGAGTGAGTGAATATATATACATATATATATATATATATATATTATATATATATAGGCCTATATATAAAACATGAAGAGGGACACACGTGTGTTCATATATGAAAAATATAGAAAGGAAACTGAAAACGGAGTAGACTAATATAGAACACTGTTTTATTTAAACATGAATATTTCGACCTGACCTCAGGTCCTCCTCAGCACTCTCTTTCTTTCTATATATACATACATATATATATATATATATATTTTTTTTTTCTCTCTTTTGTGGGTTCATCCCACTTTTATTCGTCAATTCAGTAGTACAATTTACAGCATGTATCGCTCATCAACATATATATAATATATATAATATACATTATCAATATTATAGGATATATATATAATTTAGTTCATCTACTTTTGTACTATAAATGTAATAGAATTATGTATGCGAAACTGAATGTAAACTCTCCGACTTAACCACAAAAACATTAGTTACAGACCATCAAGGGCTTCCCCAGTTGCTCAGCACTTTAATTTACTGAGCCATACTATAGGTGATTTAGGCTTTTTAATCTTAGGCACCAATTTAAAATCTACTAAAGCTAGAAGGTGTGCTGATATCCTGTTGGTTCATCTGTCTTAAATAACAAACATTTAGGTTTTATGAGTGAATAAGAACATGGACCTATTCGTATTAAATAGGTCCATGGTAAAACTAAGAGAGTTTCCATCGTGACTTTCATGCTGCTGTTAAAGTTTCACTGCTTTTCTAACTTTCGGCAAACTGGGTTCGGCAAACTGGGTTTCCGGTCAACTGGGATTCATTGTTTTTGAGTCAGCAAACTGGTAGGCCTACTCGACAAACTGGGATTCGGCAAAGTGCTCTCGGAAATCTGGCATCCGGAAAACTGAAATCGACCAACTGGCAGAACCCTAGAAATACAAAGCCAAAGAAAATGAGCGGCGACGGCCTGAATAGCGGCGATTTCTAACCGCCCTTTTTACACCTTTTTCCCCCAGTTTTTAAATATTCAAAAATCTGTATCTCATTCACCGTTCCCCAGTTTTTCGTCAGACAACTCTTTTCTGTCTTAGAAAAATCAGTTCTACATCATATCAATTTTTCCCTCCTGAGTCTGACTTAAAAAATATTTGGAAAGAACCAACACGAGCTTATTTATTACGTGTTAGCTACGAGTGAAGTACGACCTTCTGGAGTTGGTTACGAGTTAACTGCGAGGTTATTACGAGCGTAACGAATTTGTACCGAATTAGCGAGGTGGGTTAAAAAGTCGAAGTAACCCGGTTTTATTGATGCCACTTCATTTAAAATGTGATGTGGAAGTTTTAATAAATGGGTGGTTGCCTTACACTGAAACTACTACGATTTATCGTTTTCAATGCAGGTGCGGAATTAGAGGCCCGGGGCCCTCCCCCCCCCTTTTTGGAAGGTAATAAAAAGAAAGAATAATAATAAAGAAAGAAAAAAAATATCTCCTAAAACGCCTCAGATGTTATTTTCGGGCGTCTAGAACACAAACATTTTATGGGGACATGCCCCCGGAGTCCCTACGGTAGTGTTATCTCCATGGAGATTCTTACCTGAATTTTGTCCGATCTTGAAGTCATTTTATCACTTTAGCAAAACAACTGAATCTCCATCGGCCCAAATTTCGCGAAAATGGTCATTATATCCTTAGGCCTACCATATTACACTATTGTTTATATATTCTTGTAATTGTTCGAAAATAACGGGGAAAATAATAAAACTGTGTAAAAACAGTGTAAAACAGTCCGGAGCCATTCATTAAAACTGAACTACCTATAACACAAAATGGTATAATCCTTGGGATTTTCCCGAGGGTTGTCATAGACATCATGCAACCAACCCCACCCATCCTGCTAGTAGAGTACTTCCTCTTCTCTAAACTGCTGACGGCATACGAATGCGAAAATCGTTTTGAATCCATGTTTTCCGTATTGGATCCGTTATTATTCAGTTGTTTTGCTAAAGTGATAAAATGACTTCAAGATCGGACAAAATTCAGGTAAGAATTCCGGCCATTTCGACGGGTTTTATATTCGGCGAGGGTTTCGGCTACTCTACTGTTGCAGCCAAATGGTGTGCATTATTTTCCCCCATGCAGTTAAAGTCTGGTTTCCAGAATTTCTTACGATCCATACGTTTCTTACGATCTTTCCTGTCGACGTAAAGGTCAGACTTTCTTACGTTTCATACGTTTCTTACGATTCTTA